AATATTGTGGAGGGCTGGCACAAATGACTTTTTCATTCAACCTTTATTTCTACAGGTAAATCCCATTGAGCCTCGAGGACTCATTTACAAGAGAGACCTGATTTCAACTTAACTCAGTACTGCATAATATTAATAGTATTTCATTATTAAAAGCAGTACATAGCACTGTTTTAACAAGCTGGTAAGAGTATTTGTTATGATTAAGCAACGAAAAAGCGAGGTTTCCTTACAAAAAATGTCATTTATTCAATTAAATTTCCCAGTACAATGGTAAACTGTTAACATTTTTACCATTTGTGACGTTATATTAATGATCATTTTCAGTCACATTCACCCCAAAACTCCATCCATCCATTATCTTTACCCGTTTATTCCATTTTGGGTCACAGGGGTCGCTGGTGCCCATGTCCAACAATCACTGTGCGAGGGGCGGGGTACACCCTGGACATGTCTCCTGTCCATCACAGGGACACATAGAGACAAACAACCATGCACTCTCACTCACGCCTAGGGACAATTTAGAGTTACCAATCAGCCTAACATGCATGTTTTTGGTCTGTGGGAGGAAACCGGAGTACCCGGAGAAAACCCACGCATGCACGGAGAGAACATGCAAACTCCACCCAGAAAGGCTCCTGGACTGGGATTTGAACCAGGGACCTGTTCGCTGAGAGGCAGCAGCTCTACCAGTTGCGCCACCGTGCTGCCTCACCCCAAAACTCATTTTGAGTTTTATATACTGCTGGAAAAAGTTCTTAGCTTTGTAAATATATCACAATATTGTCTTGTACTCCAAATATTATGAAACATCATATAATAGTGATCGTCACTGAACTGTGATTTCAAGTCCCGGTTCTTTACGTGTCTACATTTGTAGTCTAAACATCTCATTTGGTGTTTATCAGTTTTTTTCTTGTTTAGTGAGAGAAGTTTAGTCTCTGGTGGGCTTTAACGGAAATGTTAAAGTCAGGTTCAAGGTCTGAAGTGGAGATGTGAAGCAAAGCTGACATCATCATTGAGAGAGGATCTATATCTGGATTTGGTTAACTTCATTTGCTTACATATGTATTTTGTAATTCCCCTTACGGGGGCCGCTGAGAGTCAACCAAAGGGCCGCATGTGGCCCTGGGGCCGTACAACGCGCAGGTCTGATCTGGATGAAGTGATGGAGAGTATTCCCAGGGAGGAGAGAGTGGTGATGGTAGCAGACCTGAATGGACATGTTGGTGAAGGAAACAGAGGATGAGGAAGTGATGGGTAGGTTTGGTGTCAAGGAAAGAAACCAGGAAGGACAGATGGTGGTGGATTTTGCCAAGAGAATAGAAATGGCTATAGTCAATACCTATTTCCAAAAGAGGGAGGAACATAGAGTGACCTATAAGAGTGGAGGAAGGAGTACGCAGGTCGACTACATTCTGTGTAGAAGAGGAAACCTGAGGGAGACTGGAGACTGTAAGGTTGTGGCAGGGGAGAGCGTGGCCAGACAGCATCGGATGGTTGTGTGTAGAATGACTGTTGTTGTGAAGAAGAGAAAAAGAGTAAAACCAGAGAAGAAGACCAAATGGTGGAAGATGAAGAAGGAAGAATGTTGTGATAAATTCAGAGAGGAGCTGTTAAAGGCTCTGGGTGGTAAGAAAGAGCTTCCAGATGACTGGACTACTACAGCAACAGTAATTAGAGAGACAGGTAGGAAGGTACTTGGTGTGTCATCTGGACAGAGAATGGATGATAAGGAAACCTGGTGGTGGAATAGTGAAGTGCAGGAAGCTGTTCAAAGGAAGAGGTTAGCCAAGAAGAAATATGACAGAGAGAGGACTGAAGAGAGGAGACAGGAATATAAGGAGATGGGACGTAGAGCAAAGAGGGAGGTAGCTAAGGCAAAGCAGAGGGCATACGATGAGTTGTATAGGAGACTGGACACTAAAGAGGGCGAGAAGGACTTGTACCGATTGGCAAGACAGAGGGATCAGGCTAGAAAGGATGTGCAGCAGGTTAGGCTTATTAAAGACAGGAATCATAATGTTCTAACAAGTGAGGAGAGTGTGACGGGAAAATGGAAGGAGTACTTTGAGGAGCTAATGAATGAAGAGAATGAAAGAGAAAGAAGAGTAGAGGTCATAGAAACTGTGGACCAGGAAGTGGGAAAGATCAGTGAAGGTGAAGTCCGGAAAGCTCTGAAAAGAATGAGGAAGGTGAAGGCAGTACGACCTGATGACCAGTGGAGGTTTGGAAATGTCTTGGAGAGATGGCAGTGAGGTTTTTGACTCAAATATTCAATGACATATCTGAGGGTGAAAAAATGCCTCAGGAATGGAGAAGAAGTGCTGGTGGCCGTTTTTAAGAACAAGGGTGATGTACAGAGTTGTAGCAACTACAGGGGAATTAACTTGATGAGGCACACAACGAAGATCTGGGAGAGAGTTGTGGAAGCTAGACTTGGATGAGAGGTGACTATCTGTGAGCAGCAGGATGGTTTCATGGCAAGAAAGAGAAAGAGCACCACAGATCCATCTTTGCTTTGAGAATGTTGATGGAGAAGTACAGAGAGGGTCAGAAAGAACTCCATTGTGTCTTTGTGGATTTAGAAAAAGCATCTGACAGGGTGCCGAGGGAGGAGGTGTGGTGTTACATGAGGACATCTGGAGTGGCAGAAAAGTATGTTAGACTGGTACAGGACAGGTATGAGGACAGCAGGACATGTATGAGGACAGCAGGACATGTATGAGGACTGCAGGACATGTATGAGGACAGCAGGACATGTATGAGGACTGCAGGACATGTATGAGGACAGCAGGACAGTGGTGAGATGTGCTGTATGAGTGACAGATAGCTTCAAGGTGGAGGTGGGAGTGCATCAAGGATCGGCTCTGAGCCCCTTCTTGTTTGCTCTGGTGATGGACCGACTAACAGATGAGGTCAGGCAGGAATCCCCATGGACCATGATGTTTGCAGATGACATTGTGATCTGTGGTGAGAACAGGGAACAGGTGGAAGAGAACTTGGAGAGGTGGAGGTATGCACTTGAAAGAAGAGGAATGAAAGTCAGTCGTAGTAAGACAGAGTCCATGTGTGTGAATGAGGGAGGAGGTGGAACAGTGAGGCTACAAAGAGCAGAGGTCACAAAGCTGCAGGACCTCAAGGACTTGGGGTCCACTGTCCAGGAACATGGGGAGTGTGGTGAAGAGGTGAAGAAGAGAGTCCAGGCAGGATGGAGTGATGGAGTGATGGAGAAAAGTTTCTGGAGTGATTTGTGACAAAAGGGTGTCAGCAAAGGTCAAAGGAAAAGTTTACAAGACAGTGGTGAGACCAGCTATGTTGTATGGTCTGGAGACAGAGACATGGACAAAAAGACAGGAGACAGAACTGGAAGTGTCAGAAATTAAGATGCTAATGTTCTCCTTAGGAGTGACAAGGATGGAGAAGATCAGGAATGAGATCATCAGAGGTACAGCACAGGTTGAACAACTGGGAGATAAAGTTAGAGAGGACACACTGAGATGGTTTGGACATGTCCAGAGGAGGGACAGTGGTTTGGACATGTACAGAGGAGGGACAGTGGTTTGGACATGTCCAGAGGGGGGACAGTGGGTATATTGGTAGAAGGATGTTAGAAATGCAGCTGCAGGAAAAATACAAAGAGGAGACATCTGGATGCAGTTAGAGAGGACATGGAGGTGGTTGGAGTGAGGACAGAGGATGTAAGTAAGTAAGTAAAACTTTATTTATAAAATTAAAAAAAAAACCTGCAGTATGACTTTTTATAATTGTTTATTGTTGTTGTTGTTGTCCATTGTCGCCATCTTTCTTTGTTGAAATCAGGTCTCTCCAGTAAATGAGTCCTCGAGGCTCAATGGGATTACCTGTCTAAATAAAGGTTGAATGAGTTGAATGAATATAGCGCTTCTCAGAAATCTGTTGGAATCAGCCTCCCCACCATCACAGACATCTACATCTCCAGATGCAGGAAGAGGGCCACCTGCATCATGAAGGACCCCACCCACCCAGCACACACACTTTTTGCCCCACTCCCCTCAGGAAGGAGGTTAAGGAGCATTAAGTGTAGAACCACTAGACTGAGGAACAGCTTCTACCCTGAGGCTGTTAGACTCATGAATCTCTAACTAGAATAATCACTGTGAAAAACCATATCATGTTGCTGCTGATCTGTTTCATGTTGCTGCTGATCTGTTTCATGTTGCTGCTGATCTGTTTCATGTTGCTGCTGATCTGTTTCATGTTGATGTGTTCATGCGTGCACATCTGCTCACAGACTCATGTTCATGTTTGTGCTGATGTTCAATGTTTTATGTTATGAGTGCTTAGTGTATATTTAGTTGATGTTTTTCTTAGTTCATATCTTAGATGTTATTACTGTTTTTCTTATACATTTTATTGTTGGATGTAACTGGGACCCTGTGAACATAATTTCGCTCCACCACATGTACCACATGAGGTGCGAATGACAATAAAGAATCTCTGACTCTGAGGCCATGAGAATATCATTAGTAACTTTCACCAGTACAGATTTAGTTCTGTGGTGAACTCTAAACCCTGACTGAAACTCTTCAAGCTTATTCAAACTTCAAATTATTAACACCAAAGTTCATGCTTAATAATCCAGGTAAACAATCCAACATTTTCAGTCGGGTCATCTTAACGATTTCTTTCTTTTTTTTTTTTTTTTTGCTGAGATGTTTCGTCCTTCATCCAAATGACTTCTTCAAATATGAGGAGACCCCAAACAAACTGATTCCTACAAAAAGAATGATCCATAGTGGGAAAAAACAGTTTGCTGGCGCCAATGTGGTGCCATTTATCATGGTCTGTCCTCCGTCAGGTGCAGTACCGGCACCGCGTCACCAGGGTGCAGTACCGGCACCGCGTCACCAGGGGGC